CACATACTAGGGACAATTTAGACAGGATCCGATTAACCTACCAGCATGTCTGGAGTGTGGGAGGAAACCGGAATTCCCAGAGGAAACCTACGCAGGTACAGGGAGAACATGCAAACTCCTGGCAGGTGGTGCCATGGTTGGGATTCAAACCAACAACCCTAATCCCCAACCAATATAAAACAATTTTTTTTTTTTTATGGCTCTGAACTCAGCACATTTGTACTGATCTTTATGCAACTGTGTGAATGGGCCCAGAAAACTATACAGCTACAATCAGATTGTTAGAGAAAAAAAAACAAAAAACAAAAAAAAAAAAAAAATCTAAAAATACATAAAATGGCTACATTTTTGCAAGAGCCCTAACCACAGCTACACTGCTTTCTCAATTAATAATTTACTTCAGTGCATAACTCCCAAACAAAATATTCACTGCTTTGTAGTAGACATGAACAGGAAGATATACTGCACTCCACAAATACTTTCATTGTTTTATCATTATATACAAAAACCCCCATAATTGTACCCAACCCAAAAGCACAATGAAAAATCCCACCATAAAACCACCAGATCCGACAATTTACCCAGGGTACCCCCTGCAATCATGCACACACATAAAACTTCCTGTCTCTATGTGTACTCCAATGAAACCTTATATTATAAAAATATCATACTCTTTACTGTATTAAATATTGCAATTGTCCTGCATGTAGGTTCACATTAGCGTGCTAACTTTCAAAGAGCAAAGGATGCTCCAATCTCTGCTCCTTCAAGTTTCCAGAGATGTAACATTTTATAGTGTGATTTTTTGTTATGCTTTGGTTAAAATTGTGCAGATTTTTGTATATACCAACGTAAAAAGGTTCAAGTGCAAAATTGTTTATTTTTTTGGATCTACTACATGATATCAAGATTTTACTCATACCACAACATGTGTTTTGAGCACAAGTCAACACACATACATTGGTGCAGTACTTTTTAACATGTGCTCTCTTTATGCTTCCTGAAAGATTCAAAAGATGTATGGCATGGAAGAGGATCCAAAATTATGCTGGAGCAGCATTGAAATGCACTGTCACACTCAGAAAGAAGTAGGACTTGTTCTCATTTCTCACAGCACATAATGGTGTAATACACCACTGCTTACACCAAATCTTATATGAATGGAACCATAAACCTACCTAGGTGTCTACTCCATGCCATTGAACCATCTGCATGTCTGCACCGTGACATAAAAGCTACCTACATCTTTACGACATAATACCCATGTGTCTACTCCGTGCTATTAAAACATAACTTACATGTCTGCTCCATGCTATTAAACCTACCTACACCTCTACCCCATAATACCTACGTTTCCACTCCATGCTATTAAACATCTACTCCAGGATATCTACATTTCCACTCCATGCTATTAAACCCATCTACATGTCTACTCTGTGCCATTAAACCTATCTGCAGTCTACGACATAATAAACCTACCTATGTGCCTACTCCATGACATCTACATTTCCCCTCCACGCCACTAAACCTACCTGTGCGTCTACGCCACTAAACCTACCTGCGCGTCTACGCCACTAAACCTACCTGCGCGTCTACGCCACTAAACCTACCTGCGCGTCTACGCCACTAAACCTACCTGCGCGTCTACGCCACTAAACCTACCTGCGCGTCTACGCCACTAAACCTACCTGCGCGTCTACGCCACTAAACCTACCTGCGCGTCTACGCCACTAAACCTACCTGCGCGTCTACGCCACTAAACCTACCTGCGCGTCTACGCCACTAAACCTACCTGCGCGTCTACGCCACTAAACCTACCTGCGCGTCTACGCCACTAAACCTACCTGCGCGTCTACGCCACTAAACCTACCTGCGCGTCTACGCCACTAAACCTACCTGCGCGTCTACGCCACTAAACCTACCTGCGCGTCTACGCCACTAAACCTACCTGCGCGTCTACGCCACTAAACCTACCTGCGCGTCTACGCCACTAAACCTACCTGCGCGTCTACGCCACGCTACTAAACCTACCTGCGCCTTTACTCCAACCTATTAACCCTACCTACGCATCTACCCCAAGCTATTAACCCTACCTGAGTGTCTACTCCATGCTATGCAACCTACCTAAGTCTTTACTCCATAATACCCATGTGTCTACTCCATGCTATTAAAATCTACCTTACATGTTTGTTCCATGCTATTAAACCTACCTACATCTCTACCCCATAATACCTACGTTTCCACTCCATGCTATTAAACCCATCTATAGGTCTACTCCGTGCCATTAAACCAATCCACAGTCTACAGCATGATAATAAACCTAGCTATGTGCCTACTCCATGACATCTACATTTCCCCTCCACGCTACTCAACCTACCTGCACGTCCACTCCACGCTACTCAACCTACCTGCCCATCCACGCTACTCAACCTACCTGCACGTCCACTCCACGCTACTCAACCTACCTGCACGTCCACTCCACGCTACTCAACCTACCTGCACGTCCACTCCACGCTACTCAACCTACCTGCACGTCCACTCCACGCTACTCAACCTGCCTGCCCATCCACGCTACTCAACCTGCCTGCGCCTCTACTCCACGCTACTCAACCTGCCTGCGCGTCCACTCCACGCTACTCAACCTGCCTGCGCGTCCACTCCACGCTACTCAACCTGCCTGCGCGTCCACTCCACGCTACTCAACCTGCCTATGGGGTCAATTTACTAAAAATGGAGAATGCTAAATCTGGTGCAGCTGTGCATGCTAGTCAACCAGCTTCTAACTTCAGCTTGTTCAATTAAGCCTTGAGCAAAAACACTGGAAGCTAAATGGTATCTATACAGAGCTGCACCAGATTTTGCACTTTCTATTTTTAGTAAATCAACTGCTACATGTCTACTCCCTGATATCTACAATTCCACTCCATGCTAGTAAACCTTTCTGCATGTCTACTCTGATATCTACAGGTCTATTCCATGCCATTATACCCGTCTACTCCAGGTTATTAAACCAATCTACGTACATGCTATTAAACTTATCTATACATCCACTACATGATCTGAAACTATCTACATGTCTACCTCATGCTTTCAAATGTATCCCTGCAACTAGAAAGCCCAGAAAGATCCTGGAGAGTCCCTTAGATAAGGGAATGGGAAAAGCTGGGTGTTGAAGCTGAGCTCTTCATTCCTGAAGACTATAGAGCAGTGCTGGACAGCGCTGAAGAGCCCTGACAAGCACATCAGCTCATCCAGCATGCTGCTGGACACTTCCATCTCCTTAGCAAACATCAAGAATGCAAAGTAAACCTTCTAAAGCCGGCTCAACTCCCCCCCTCCAGGCTGTGTTGCACCTTATTAGTAATGCAAACTCCTATGGCATGTTGCTTAAGGCGACTGTAATAATATGGGTCACTAAATAACAAGGTCGCCGCAAATGTGTGTACTGTGCTCCGCTTACAGAGGAGCTACAGGGACTGGAGGGGTCTTCCAAAGCTGATATGTCCTATATGCAGAAGTGACCTCCATGCATAGCCCTTACCTTTTTTGAACTCTTCCAGCATGGCATCCAGCTTGGTGTCATTGAAGACAAAGTGCAGGGGGTGGTTGTAGAATTTGGTGATGGTCTTGAGCGGTGTACAGTCGTCAGGGTCAACAAAGGCCAGGTCCTTGACGAAGAGCAGGTCGACAATGTTTGAACGGTCACCCTCATATACAGGGATGCGGGTGTAGCCACTCTCCATGATCTCAGACATGGTGTTGAAGTCAAGTGTGGCATCGCCGGCCATCATGAAGCAGTCTCGCAGAGGGGTCATGACATCCTCCACAGTCTTGGTGCGGAGCTCCAGGGCCCCCTGAATGATGTTCAGCTCCTCCTTGACCAGGTCATTATAGGGGTCAGTGACCCTCAGCATCTCCAGCAGCTTCTCCCTGTTGTAGACGGTGCCAATCTCCTGTCCAAGGACGCAGTCCAGCAGCTTGCTGACCGGGTAGGAGGCCGGGAAGGTCATCATCATGAAGAACTTGGTCAGGAAGATGGTATTGGCACCCACAGCCAGGCCATGGCGGGAACAGATGGCCTGTGGCACAATCTCACCAAAGATGACAATGCCAATGGTGGAGATCACCACAGCCACCAGCCCTGAGCCCGCAATGTCGTCCAGCAGGATGGTGAGGGTGGTGTTGACCAGCACGTTGCCCAGCAGCAGGGAGCAGAGCAGGTAATTGCCCTGGCGGCGGACGGGCTCAATCCTCTTGGCATAGTTCTTCTCCTTGTCGGTACCACAGTTCTGGACAATGCGGAGCTCCATGGGGTCCAGGGCCATCAGTCCCAGGTTGAGGCCACTAAACATGCCAGACAGGCAGAGGAGGAGGGCAATGAAGATGACCTGAAGCCAGAAGGGGAGCAGGAACTTTTTCTCCTCCACCACAATGACCCGGGTGTCATCCCCGGCGTGGTACACCCAGGTGGTCTCAGTCCAGGGCTGCGGGTGGGCGGCTCCGCCGGGGCCGGGCGGAGGGGAAGGGGCGGAGGTACATAGGTAGTACGCCTTGCTCTTCTCAGTCTTCCGCAGGGGCTTGATCTCGATGTGGATGATGGCGGAGCTGCTGCGGCTCAGTTTGATGGGCGGCTGGACCAGGATGTCGGAGGTGCGGATGCCGCACGGGTGGGTGCCCTCGGAGGGCGAGTCGTGGGCCCCGCTCCAGGGCGGCGGGTGCTCCGTAAAGGCGATCTTGGACCACGTCTCGTTGTCGAGGTTCTGCCCGTACACCCGCAGCTTCACCCGGGTCCGCTCACTCACCCGCAGCGCGCCGCCATCCATGAATGACACGTCGTCCGTGTCCTCCAGCCGCAGCCCGATGATTACCGTCTCCGCTTCGTCCTCCGCTTCCCCGGTCGCCAGCCCCAGCAACATCACCAGCATCACGGTAGCCAGGACCCGGCCGTGACTGCGCGCCGCCATGTTAAGAGTGGGCAGTATGATGGGACCGCCCGCCATCTTTAGTCCGGGCGAGTCCAGACCCGGGAGGTGGAGGGGGGCGCTCACACCCAGTCACGTACTGCCTTCATCCCGAGCAGCACCGGACCGGCAGCAGCCCTGCCTAGCCCGACACCCGCCCGGCTTCTGACTGGAAGCTTACTGAGCGTCCCGAAGTGAACCAGTCCGCGCTGAGCGACATCCCGACCGGCCAATCGTGTCACTAGGCTCCTTCCCAGGGGCGGGCTTAATTGACAGCTGGAGAGAGGGGGGCGTGGTGCGTTTACTATTCCCCCAGTAAAGTGCTTGGAGGATTTTCCCACATCGTGGGGGGCGTGACCGAGGCGCGAGGGGGCGTGGTGTGCCCGGGCACAAGTGACATGTGCTTGCCTCCAGCTGTCAAACTGGATTTTCTGTGTTCCTCGCCTGCAGCCCCAAATACAGAACACCTCGCCTAGGCTCACATCGATGCATGGAGTCATGTATAACCTGTGTACACATAAAGGCAGGATATCGGCTGGAAAGTCAGCAAAACCAATCTAAACACGAATCACTGCCACAGGAAAGCTTTGAAATCGCACTACTTCGTGCTACTTCAAAGCTGACTATTCAGTGCGACTTCATTTAACGGATGTCCATGCAAGCTGCAATGAAGTCGCACAAAATAGTGCAGAAACCTTTGTCAGAGTCGCAGCAATTTGAATGGTTCCATTGCTGCTAATGGGGTGCGACTTGTCATGTGATGCTGAGCTATCAGGTTGCATGACAAGTGTGAACCAAGGGTTGAGGTGCACTCATTACCTGTCAACAGGTTTAGGTTGAACTCCTTACCTCCAGTCTAGCACAGTTGTGCAGGCTCCTTTCCTCTATTGAGATTGCTTTCTATGATTTCACTGCACACTGTGGGCTTCTTACAGTGTGCATTAGAAGCTGCAGCAACTATTACACATGGTAAGTCACATCATCAGGCTGATGGACCTCCAGCATTATCTGTCTCTTTAATATATTACAGCTCACCAATCATTAGATGCAGCTGCATTAGTGTTTTGTTTTGTTTTTTGTTTTTTTTTGGGGGGGGGGGGGGCTCCCACTCTGCAGTACAAATCTACATCCAGCTGTTCAGAGTGTTGCACATACAGCCAGTGCAAGAGCCCCACCTCTGCCCCTCTTCCACAGCTGTCTGTCCCTCTTGCGCTGGCTAAGTGGTACATGAATACATGAATATAGTAGTGGGACATGTGCATGAAACAGAATGGAAAAAATAATGTACATCAGTAGGCAGCCAATAACTCCAGTATCAATAATGCTGAATTCACATTGAGCATTTTGTGAACTTATTTTTGTGCCCCTTGCATAGGGCAGCCCTTTCACTTCAATGCACGCCCTATATGTGGCAAAGTAGCTTATGCACCTTTTTTTGTCAAGCTTCACAGGTTTTAACCCCCACCTGTTTTGTGCACTTGATGCACGTTTTTTCGCATGAAAAATGTGCATTTTTTTTGCTGTATTTGGAATGTCATTAACAATGAATGGCAAAGCATGCGCTCGTTTGAAATCATGATTTTGCGCACATTCATGAAACGCTAAGTGTAAATACGGTCTGAGGGCAACCTGAACGAGGATTAAAGGTGGGCCAGGGGGTCAGTGGATAAGCCTCTTTCACATGGACTTAGAGATGCAGCAAAATGACAAATGCGGGAAAACCCGGCTATGGCATTAACCCACTTTCGAGATTTGTTTCAAATGCATTAAAAGAGAACTATGGGGTTTGCATTTTTTCCCCCAAGTATACTTACCAAGGTGGGTGCAGCATCGATCCATTGCTGCATCTGTCCCCTGCCGGCTTTAAAGGTGAGAACTCAGCTAGCACATGACTGCTGATCGCTGAGTTCACACAGTCGCTTTGAGCAGAAAGGGTTGACTGTCAGTCACCGCTGTCTGCTCTACCCCTCCAGCGCTCACCCCTAACTGGAGTGCTGGGCTGTGGAGGGGAAGGGAGCTGCTGGCTCAGGCTCTTAGCAGATAGCTGACAGGCTGAGCCAGGTGCTGCTCCAGACTCTGGGGTGGATCCTGACTTTAATGTCGGGATCTTTCCCAGCCTGGACCGGCTGAGTGATGTCAGCTGATAGTGGGCTTCAGCCCACTGTCAACTGAAAACGGGTCACAGGCATGCAGAAAGAACTGCACTCCTGTTATCCACAGAAGTACAGCCAAAAGAACATTGGTTGTATTTCTTCTTTAATAAGTGCCGCCCAAATGCCATCTTCTGGTTTTCAGGTTTTCTCACAAGGGGAAGTGAATGTTGTAAATGTGTAAAAAACAGCACTTTTTTTGGAAAATGTAATTCATGTTTTGAAGCATTGCAATTTAATTCAATGGAGGGTGCAGCAAAGCTATGAAATTGCAACCTGCCCTCAAATTTTTGATGGGACATGAAGCAACCCTAATGTATATACTGTCCCATCTGCCATTGTTTTAATTACGTAGTGCATTAGCAAAAGGCATGGGAACATTAAAAATGTGGCTAAATTGCTTCTCTCTTCTATAGAGAAGAGACTCTTAGACTCTTGGCCAGTTCAGCAGGGAAAGCCGAGATTCGAACCATCTATGGGCAGGCTGATTGTACCTAAATTGATTGTTGTACGACTTGGGTGCAACCAGCCTATTGGATTTTTCCTGCAATAATTGTGAGTGGCTATAACTGCTAGCAATAATCACTGTGTTCTCCTATGCGGGGACTGCTCCCCCTGCTGGTAGAACACAACAGCTCCACAGAAGGGATTCCCCTATCAACATTCACTGTGTTTATGTGGGAATCAGCATCAATCTGTAGTTGTAGGAAAGAAAATTGCATCAACTATGGCCAGTTTAAACCTATGTGGCTATCACCGCTAGCAATAATCACTGTGTTCTCCTAGCAGGGACTGCTCCCCCTGCTGGGAGAACACAACAGCTTCACGGAAGGGATTCCCCCATCAACACTCACTGTGTTTATGTGAGAATCAGCATCAACTCGCGGTTGCAGGAAAGAAAATTGCGTCATCTATGGTCAATTTAAACCCATGTGAAAGAGGTCTAAGGTCAGCCATACATAGGTCAATTTTCGAACGATTTTACCTTTGAAAATCGGACCTAAGAATAATCAGCCAATTTTCGCTCTGTTAGTGGGGCAATGGCACCGGCCGATTTTCGTGGTTCCTCCCCATTTCATTTATCGGGCATGCTGGAAAATTTGTGAAAAACTACCGATTTTCGAAATCATTGGTGGCACCAACGGCTTACAGAACGATCAATGTTTTCAATTTGCGATCGAAAAATCGTTCCGAATTCGGCCCATGTATGGCCTGCTTAAGTCCTTCCCACAGCACTCAATTTTCCAGAATTAACCTCATCTGCTACAAGTGTGAAAGAGCAGCGCTGCTCACCCACCTCCTCCATTCATCAAACTCATACTAATATTTCCCGTAATGCAATAAGTTCTATAATTGGAGGAGGCGGATTCTGTCAGGGTTAAGATTAAGGCCCCCAGGGGCAGAAACACGTCAGCGTTTTCTTTGTATTTTGGAACCTTTCCACCACTTAAGTACTCAGTAAAGGGCTTTTATGCTGTTTATTAACTGGATTGCCAACTGTATCTTCGGTTTAGTTGTGTCTGCAAGCAGCTTGTGGAGGCTGGAGTCAGGCACCAGATATGTGTTATCCTCTTCAGGGTTGGACTGACTTGTTGTATGGAGTCAGGACAGGAATCACTGCTTCCAGGCAGCAAGGTACCTTCTTAGAAATTGAAAGTGAAAAGCAGAGAAGCCGTAAAGCATGCAGGGAACGCAGGAAGTTGTGGAAAGAGATGATGAGCAGACAGGCATGAAAAGAGATTGTTCTAGTAAGCTTATACTGAACTATGAAATAGAACTATTGTTTTATTATTATTATGAAGCTGGTGTTATATCATTAAATTGTATCTGTGACCTTAGGTCTCCTTTAGAGCCAGTTCACACCACAAAAAACACTCCAGATGCATTCCGGATACGTTTTTGCTTACAGTTAATACCACACTCTGTTCCAGTGCAGTTTTGATGCAGTTGCTATGTTCCAGTACAGTTCTGTGCAGAAAAATGCATCATGTTCTACTTTATTTCTGCACTGGAAACTGCACTGGTGTGAACTAGGGCCATTGGAATGCATTGAAAACACTGTGCATGCATTTTTGATGCAGAAAAAAAGCACACTGGACTGTATCTAGTGTGAACTAGCCCTTAACTGCTTTTGCGCCGCCCTATATATATGTGATTTTGCAGTTCCGGGTAGGGGGTGTGCACTGTAATTCGCAGCCTCGGCTGTTAGTCACCATGTCCCGGCCGGTGATTCCCCGCTGGCACCCGGTGATCTCCGAGTACTACCAATGGAGAAGAGATCTGTATGTAAACGATACAGATCTCTCCCCTGTCAGCTCCTGCACACTGCTTTGTATGGCTCTGCATAGCCGAGCCATACAAAGCATGTGCTTACAGTGTAAAGCACACACAGCCCACATAGTAAAACAGCACACAGTTAACCCTTTGATTGCCCCACGATAACCCCTTCCTGCCCAGTGCCATTAGTATAGTGTCAGTGCTTTTTATTAGCACTGCTCACTGTATTGGTATCACTGGGGATGTCAGTGACACCAAGTCAGTTCCCCCCAGTTTCAGAATGCCCGCCGCAGTTCCACTATAAGTCGCCATCACTGCCATTACTTGTAAAAAAAAATAAAAAAAATTTCAGTATATATACCACATTTGTAAACACTATAACTTTCACATACACCAATTAATTTACATGTATTTGGATTTTTTGTTTTAGCAAAGACATAGCAGAATACATTTTGGCCTAAATTTATGACGAAATTTGATTAACATTTTCTTACTGGACATGTTTAATAGCGAGCGTCAAAAATATAGGGTTTTTTTCAAAATTGTCAGTCTTTTTTTGTTTATAGCACCAAAAAATAAAAAAACGCACAGGCGATCAAATACCACCGAAAA